CTTGCCATCGTTCAACATTCAGTATTTGTCTCAGACACTTCCCTCTCTACACAGCGTGCCGTCGTGTGTTCTTTTCTAAAGAGAATATTCTAGGCTATTTTTGTTGTGTTGTTTGTAGACAGGCTAGTCTAGAAGGCATGACCCTCAGCCTCCTGAGTGCTGGGATTAAAGGTGTGCACTAATACCGCCAGGCCCAAGGCTAATTTTTAGTTTCTTTCTCTTTTTTTCTTAATGGTGTTAGTAATTGACTTGCTATGCTAGCCAAGTACTCTACCACTGAACTACATTCCTTAGGATTTCTGTTTTGTTTTCTCAAGATAGAGGCTAGCCTGCAACTTGATATATTTCTGGGAATGACCTTGAACTCCTGATCCTTCTGCCTCTGCTTCCCAAATGTGATGACAGGCTTGTGACATCATACTGGGTCTCCACAGCTAATTGTGTGTGTGTGTGTTTCTGTATGAGTGGATATATCCCTACGTGTTTACAGGCTAGAAGGAGGTGTGAGCATCCTTGGATCTGGAGTTACAAATGTTTACAGGACACATAGCTTGTGTGTGCCCCTGAACTCACATGACTGTGTAGCAAGCACTGTTAACTATTGAGCCACCTCTCCAGCTCCCCAGGGCTAGTTTTTCTATTTCTTCCCCCCACCATGATTATTTTTTCCTTTTTTAAAATTAATATTTTAAGACACGATTACTCTGTGTAGCCCTGGCTGTGTGGGAACTCACTCTGTAGAACCAGGGTGGCCTCAAACTCACAGAGATCTACCTGTTTCTGCCTTCCGGGTGCTGGAATTAAAGGTGTGAGACATCACCACCCAGCTTAAATATAATTTTTAATTAAAATATGATTACACCATCTTCCCTCTTTCCTTCTTTCCTTCTAATCCCTCCCATGTACCTTGCTCACCCTCAAATTCATGACTAATTTTTCAAAGCAAATTTCTGAAGTGGTTGGGCTTTGGCCTTGAGGACTGTAACCTTATTTGAAACAAATTGTTAAGAATATTAAAGTCTGACCCTTTTGAAGCAGTTCCTGGTCAGTGAGTGTGAGTGCAAACTACGGTAGACTTTAGCTTCCTTATGTCTAAACCTAATTCAGTTAGCCGGGAGGTGAGATCCTTGAGGATAGGGTAACTCTTCCATGGCAGTCATCAACATTACTTTCTCTCCCCCCAGTCCACATTGAGGATGTAGTTTTATTAAGAGGGTTTTAGCTTAAGTAAGTGGTAGACAATCATCTCACAACCATCTATAACTCCAGTTTGGGGAGGGGGGTCTGACACCCTCTTCCATCATCCAGGCACCCACATGCACAGGCACATACACACACACACAGACACATACATACACACAATAATAAAGAATAAAGTATATACATTTTAAAGGCGTATCATTTTTTTAAAGGGCCTCTGTCGAAATCCCAATTTTGTTGTCTTTTGTTTTTCTTTTTGCCTCTGCAACTTCTCATTTTTTTTAAGGGTGTGTGCGTGTGCATACTAAGGCTTGAGTTCTATTCCTGTGATCATGTTTTCTGTATTGTAAACACATAGAATCTCCCTCTTGATCATACCTATGTGTGTGTATGTGTTTGGCATCCTCCATTGCAGGCCACTGATTTTAAAGGATCCCCTAAACTACATGTGCTCATCTTCCATTTGGAAGGAGAGAGATCTTCGCGTTGCTATTAGAGGAACCCATATCATTCCAAATGTGCACTAAGAAAACCTTTATGATAAGGAGCTGGTGTCAAGCTAACTTGCAAGCATTGAAGCACAAAGAAAACAAGATTAATAGACAGAAACACTATCTAAAGATACATGAATTCTTTATGACAGTTATTTAAATAGATAAGGGAGCAGGCATGTGTGTAGGGGGGAGGGGACAGCTTGCAAGGTTTGGTCTCTACCCTATAGGTCCCAGGGATCAAACTCAGGTCTTCAGGCTTGGTGACAAGTGCCTTTACCCACTGAACCATCTCACCAGTCCCCCAAAGATATCTTTAAGAACTGAGAAAAATGTGTCTTTAAAATTACTAAAATTCAAATACAAATTGGTCTGAGTTTTCACCAGGATTTGAATCAAAGATAATATTGCATTTCTTGAGCTTTTGCAATGTTCTGGGCATAGGTCAAAGTTCCTTATTCAAGATGGCCTTAGTGTGGTGCGTGCCTGTGTAATCTCAGCACTGAGGAGGTTGAGGCAGATGGAATATGAGCTCAAAGCCATTCTGGGCTCCAGGTGATAGTGTCTGTGATAAGATAACATTACCAAGACAACTTGGGAAAAATATATTTGGGCTTACAGTTCCAGAGGGTTAGAACCTGTGATGTCTGGGACTTTGTGGCAGCAATCTAGGAGACTGAGAGGTCACGTCTTGAGCCATAAACACTAAGCAGAGAGGGACTGGAAGTAGGGCAAGACTTGAAGCTCTCAAAGCCCTTTCCTGGAGGAAACCACAACTTCCGCCAGCAAGGCTACACCTCACACACTGCCCAACACAACCCCAGCTGGGGACCAAGACTGTGAGGACGTTTTTCACTCACACTGCCATAGTGTCTTGTATATATTGGCTCATTTATTGCACTAAAATTAATACTATCATTGGGATTCCCATTTACAGGTAGGGAAGGTGATTCGTGTAATAACTAAGTGTCCTCCTTCTAAGTCATACAACTAGGAAGGGTTAACTAGGACTCAACCATGTTGTCTTACTACAGGGACCCCCTCCATCTCTGAACACCCCACTGCTCTTGTTACAGCAAATAAGCCAAAAGAGGACTGTTTTGGTTAAGTTGGAAATACATATCTCTGTTTTGTGTGTGTCAGTATAGATGTTAGGTTCTTTCTTTTTTTTTTTCTTTTTGAGACCAGGTCTCATTCTGTATGTTGACCCTAAACCCACAATCCTTTTGCCTCTGCCTTATGAGTACTGGCATTATAGATGTGTGATATCATACTTAGCTTTCTTTTTTCTTTCTCCTTTTTAATTTGTGATACTGGGTATTGTCAAGGGCCTCTCACACCTGCTAGCCAAGCACTGTCTGATGACCTGTACATCCTCAGCCACTTTAATTATTCTTGAACTTTGCCTGCATAGTCTCATTCACAAGTCAGAGGTCAACATTTTAAAAATAGTGTTCCTGGTTCTAGTTAAATTGTGGAACCTGGGCATGAGAATATGTCAGAATGTGTCTTAAGTGAAGCAGCAAAGAGGAAGAAACCACGACTCAGACACTAGGCCACAAGATAAGAAAAGGGTGGAGACTCAGCCATGACGCTTGTTTCTTTTTTGGTATTATTTTATTTTATGTGTATGGGTGTTTTGCCTGCATGTGTGTCTGTGTACCGTGTGTGTGCCTGGTGCCCATAGAGGTCAGAAGGGGCTTTGAATATCCTAGAACTGGAGCCACCATGTGGGCTCTGAGAATCAAATCTGGGTCCTTTAGAAGAGCAGCCAGTGCTTTTAACTGATGAGCCATCTCTCCAGCAATCTCGAGATCTTTCTATAGAATTCATGTGTCCCATAATGCGATAGATTTCACTCTTTCAAAAGTTCAGTCAGAGCCAGTGGTGGTGACACACTTAATCCCGGCACTGGGGAGTCAGAGGCCAGCTGACCATTGTGAGTTCCAGGCCAGTCTGGTCTACAAAGTGAGTTCCAGGACAGCCAGGGTTGCATAACCTTTCATTACTCAAGCATTGTATGCAACTTTTAATGACATCATTACAGTATGCTCCCTGACACCATTCATACCACCCATGGCTACTTGATTTAAATAAAACATTTAATTTGATTTAATAATTCTTACCCCCATTTAAGCTCTATTAGTCACAGGTGGTTAGTGACAGCTTTCCTATCATTTCCTCCAAAATTGTATTGAATCAGAACTTGGGAAGCTGAGGCAGGAAGGTTCAAGGCTACACTTGGCTACTTATGGAGGTTTGGTCTTTAAAGAGAACAAAATAAAACCAAAAGTTGGTCGTGGTTGATAGCACACATCTGTAACCCCCCAGCACTCAGGAGGCTGGGTGGAATTGCCATGAGATTCCGAGCAGCCCGGGCTACAGAATGAGTTCCGGGTCATCTAGGGCTAGCATGAGTGAGAGACCCTGCTTAAAGAAATAAATGCTGTTTTGTACAGCACAGCTCTGAAGAAAGGATATAGAATCTGGAGCCAAACGCCTAGGTGCCTGTGTAAACCTGAGTCTCTTTCCCCACAAGAGACTCAGCTTTGAGGTGAATGTCGGGTACTGTGTACAAGGGCTGGGAAGATGAACTGAGAATGCAGGAAGATGATGATTTCTTTGGCCCCTGTGGTGTCTTTCCACGTAGAAAGATTACTTGACAGCATCCTGAGTTAACCTGACTGTTTAGGTACTGAATCCAGGTCTGCAAATGATTCATACCAAGGTTTTGCCTGAATATTTAAAAAATCTGACCAACTCCACAACAGTGGGAACATCATTTCCTGTTGACAACTTCAGTACACAGTTCAGTAACACCTTGTAGGGAACACATCTCCTTGAAGTTTAATGATCACATTGCTCTACATCTGGAGGCATAGCATGCGCAAGGGGTTCCATCCCCAGCAACTCAAGCGCTATAATGGGGGACAATTATGTCATTCAGTTTCTGTTAGTGCAGTGAAAAAGTCTGCCTTTGAAAAAATAAAAACTCTGTGTACACCAAAGAAATGAAGGAAATTTGGAAAGTGCTATAGTGAAACGAAATCAGACTTGACGGTGCAGGGGTGAAACGGAAGTCATTGCTTGCTGCAAGAACTAAGATTTTCCCCCTAAGATGACAGCAGGTTCTCACAGATTGACTATTTTAAAACCCCCTGAATTTCCATAGCGACCTCCGCCGCGGCCTCCCCCATCTAATATCTCAAGTCAGCACCCCGTGACCTGCCTGTGAGCCGAAACAAAAGCGAGTTCAGGGCGAAGTCCTTTCGGGGCTACCCAGTCACACCCCTCCTTTCTCTTTTGTAGGTTTCCTCCAGCCGTGGATGCCTTTGACAGCATGACCGCAGAGGATTCCACCACAGCCATGAACAGCGATCCGACAGTGGGGTCCTCCTCCAAGGTGCCAGAGGGCGTGGCGGGCGCGCCCAATGAGGCTGCACTGTTGGCACTGATGGAGCGCACCGGCTACAACATGGTACAGGAGAACGGGCAACGCAAGTATGGTGGGCCCCCTCCTGGCTGGGAGGGCCCGCATCCCCAGCGAGGCTGCGAGGTCTTCGTGGGCAAGATCCCGCGGGATGTGTACGAAGATGAGCTGGTTCCTGTGTTCGAGACCGTAGGCCGCATCTACGAGCTGCGCCTCATGATGGATTTCGACGGCAAGAACCGCGGCTATGCCTTCGTCATGTACTGCCACAAGCACGAGGCCAAGCGAGCCGTTCGTGAGCTCAACAACTATGAGATCCGCCCGGGCCGCCTGCTGGGCGTGTGCTGCAGCGTGGACAACTGCCGCCTCTTCATCGGTGGCATCCCCAAGATGAAGAAGCGCGGGGAGATCCTGGAGGAGATCGCCAAGGTCACCGAGGGCGTGCTCAACGTGATCGTGTATGCCAGCGCCGCAGACAAGATGAAAAACCGAGGCTTCGCCTTCGTGGAGTATGAGAGCCATCGCGCTGCAGCAATGGCGCGCCGCAAGCTCATGCCGGGTCGCATCCAGCTGTGGGGCCACCAGATCGCTGTGGATTGGGCCGAGCCCGAGATCGATGTAGACGAGGACGTGATGCAGACAGTGAAGATCCTCTACGTGCGCAACCTCATGATCGAGACCACCGAGGAGACCATCAAGAGGAGCTTTGGCCAGTTCAACCCAGGCTGCGTGGAACGCGTCAAGAAGATCCGCGACTACGCCTTCGTGCACTTCACTAGCCGCGAGGACGCCGTGCACGCCATGAACAACCTCAATGGCACAGAGCTGGAGGGCTCCTGCTTGGAAGTCACGCTGGCCAAGCCTGTGGACAAGGAGCAGTACTCCCGCTACCAGAAGGCAGCCAAGGGTGGTAGTGGTGGCTCAGCAGAGGTGGTAGCCCAGCAGCCCAGCTATGTGTACTCCTGTGACCCCTACACGTTAGCCTACTATGGCTACCCCTACAACGCGCTCATCGGACCCAACAGGGACTACTTCGTGAAAAGTTAGTGGAGACTCTTCTCTTGAGGGCCCCTTGGGTGTCCCAATTCCCCCACCCTTGCGCGGGCACACACGTGGGTGCACACACAGGCACTAGTGTCAGATTGAGTGTGGTTCCAATTTGCTAGGCCCTACCCTTTTAGGTTGAGGTTCTAAGCGCTGACTCGTAGTGACTATTGTGGTATTGAGAGAAGTATCCCTCTAGGTGAGCAATCGAGTCATTGGGATGCTTTGTCCCTTGCTGTGACCTAACCCATGTGGAACAGGTCTGCCTACCCCTTGGAGTTTAAGTTAAACTCTGCTTTTGAGCCCAGGCATGGTGGTGCCGGACTTGTAATCCCAGCATTCTAAAGGGTGAGGCAAGGGGATTCCTAGATGGAGGTCAGCCTGGGTTACTGATTCTGAAGTATAATCTTAAGGTGTTGGTTGACGAGGTCACGGTCACTGAGTATAGAAGACCAAGCATGACACTAGAAAACATAACATGGGCTCAAGGGCCCGCTGTCCATTCACTGGGTCTGAATTAACTCCCTTTGCCTTTTTTTCTTAAGCACAAAACAAGGAGGGAGGGCAGGCATATCCCTTTCCAGATCTGTTTTACCCCTCTCTCACTGAAGTTGCAATCACAACCCTGGGAACTCCCTTGCACTAAACAAGCAGATGGGAATGACGAAGTACACCTATACAGAGCATCTTATTAGCCCCAGTAGTCCAGAGTTGTGGCCACCTGCCGCTTAGACAGAGGGCGGACCACAGGCCCTAACCGTCACTGTTGCCGGCTCATCCTTTTTTGTGTTGTATTATAAGCAGGCAGCATAAGAGGCCGAGGGCGAGGTGCCGCTGGAAACAGAGCCCCAGGGCCCAGGGGTTCCTACCTTGGAGGATATTCTGCTGGCCGTGGTATATATAGCCGATATCATGAAGGCAAAGGCAAACAGCAAGAAAAAGGATATGAACTTATGCCAAATTTGGAAATTTCTACTGTCAATCCAGTTGCCATTAAACCTGGTGCAGGTCAGTATAAACCAGCGCAAATGCATCATTTGGCCCTAAACTCCAACCCTTTCTTTCAAGTGAGTCCAGTCTTCCTGGCTCTTTAACCCATCTGCATACGGATTCTTCTCCCCTTCTGCAGAAAGAAGGTCTGTGTGTCATACCCCCCACCCTCCCACGCACGGACCCTCTAGAATTTAGGAGACTGGTCTAGTCCAGGCCACATTCACATTCGGCTGTCAGGCGGTTTTCAGACAGGTGTTACCTGCCAATCATCTGGCTGTTTCTCTGTCTGTGACTGTCAAGAGTGAGGTGTGGAAAGATCAGAAGGGAATGAGGCTCCCTGTTTCTTGGGTCACCTAGAACCTGTCTTTTCCTTGTGAATGTACCTAGCACTCCATCACTGAGCTGCGTCCGACCCATGCCTCAGCCACCAGAAAGCAGGGGCCATGGGTATTACCAGTTCTCAGAGAAAGAAGCTTCTTCTCCAGAGCCTATAGTTCCAGTTTTCCTGCGAGATGGTCTGGCAGATGCCAACAATTGTGGACTAGGCAGAGGTGAAGGTTTTAAGCTGGATCCAAAGACTTAGAATTGAGATGCTGGATCCATTGAGCCAGGGGCTTTGTTTGCCTTTACTACCAACAAACTTATTTTCCAACACTGCTGGCCCCTTGGTCACCCACTGTGAGGAAGGGTAAGCTTTAACTGTGTTTAGTGAGTTTGGTAGGCCTGTTCTACTCAGACTCTCCATCCACTAACCTCTGAACCTATGGAGAGTCCCTTCCGTGGGTAACCAGAATGAATTTCTCCCTGGCTTCTTGGCCTCACTGAGGGTAGGAGGAAGACTTTTGAAGGTCACCTTCTCCCTTGCTGATTGCACACTTCTTTTCCTAGTAAGAGGCAAGGAATTGGTATGTTTGGAACACAGGTTTAACATGTTGAAGGAATCCAATGGTAACTAGGGAAAAAGCCTTGCAATCTTCGCAATACAGTAGCTTCCAGCATCAGGATGCCTTAGAGATGCCATTGGCACCGAACAGTCTTTAGCCATGTGGCAGTCCTGCGTCCTGGAATAGAGAGTTTTGTAGGCTGGTAGCCGAAACAATGCAGTGTTAGTTATTCTGTACAGCCCCTAGGTGGCTTCATCTAGTAGCCTTTCTTATCACTTGAAAGGTTCCCTTTCTTATCACTTGAAAGGTTCATCTTTGTCCTTCTGAGGGATACCAGGGCAGTGCTAACATATTTGGGCATAAGACTGGTGAAAGATTTGTTTGGAAGGTCAGGTAAAGATATTTGGTTAAGTTTTTAGATTTTTTTTAATGGACAAGCCATTGTTTACCTTATGGCCATTTTGTCTCTATGCCTTTGATCATAACCATCTATCTCTGTAGAAAACAGAGCGTGCTTACAGTTGGAGGGAAGACAGACATGAAAGGACTCTATGTGTACATTTCATATTTCTTTTTCTTTCAGCACACACAGCATGTACATACACATCCCCCCCCCCCCGCATCGGGGCTAGTGTCTCTGCCTTTTGATCTCCTGATATTGCACATCGACATTCAGTAACTCTATCTGTTTGAATCTCTGCTTGAAGCCGTTCCTTTGGACTCTGCTCACAGAAATTATTTGAGTTGGCAGGTTCAAGTGAAAAACCAATTACCCACTGCTTCACTACGATAAATGGATATTAGCACATTGGAGCTTTTTCCATTTCCTACTCAAACCCCCTCCAACTGGATCCGTAATACTAATGTGAAATGAAAGGTGGAGAGGATGTACTCACGTCTCCAAGCAGTCAGAATGATATCTTACCTCCACCTACTTCTTAAAACACTGTGAAAGTGCAAAGGGCTTTGGGGGAGGGGTGAGCAATGTAAGAGAGACTAACCAGGGCGCACACTCACACTCATCAGGAAATGTCAGGGCAGAGGCCTCACTCTAAACACTCCTTAACTCCATCCCAACGCAAAAGCAGAGCACGTGATTATGCAGAGGCGCATGACCGTGAACCTGGATCTTAAATACCTCCTCCATGACAGCAAGTAACAAATCTGTCTTCTTCCTGCCTCTTTTGCAGTGGCCATCCCTGCCATCGGTGCCCAATACTCCATGTTCCAGGCAGCCCCAGCCCCTAAAATAATTGAAGATGGCAAGATCCACACAATGGAACACATGATCAGCCCCATTGCTGTGCAACCTGACCCCGCCACTGCTGCCGCCGCCGCTGCCGCCGCCGCCGCCCATGCTGCTGTTATTCCTGCTGTGTCCACACCGCCACCATTCCAGGTAGAGGTCTTTGCCATGGCCACTGTCATTTATTTATGGAGCTCCTCTCAATCGTAGACTCATTAGTATTCAGCACTGAGAATATGCTCTGTGCAATGTTTAATGTGAAATAACAGGAAAGAAATGTTTAGCTCAATGAAAATTACACATACACACACACACACACACACACACTCACGTGCGCACTCGTGACAAGTATGGCTCAGCAGATAAAGGTGCTTGATTCCAAACCTGATGGCCTGAGTTCAATCCCCAGGACCCACCTGGTGGAAGGAGAGAGACAGCTCTGAACCCCCTCTACTTGTGCCCTGTGACGCACAACCTCCCCACCATGCACATACACGTGTGTACAAAATATGTCCATATGGACATGAAATTCCTCATTTTCATTCTTTGATTCATTCATTCATTTTCAAGGCAGGGCTTTTCTGAGTGCAGCTCTGGCTGTTCTGGAACTTCCTCTGTAGATCAGGCTGGCCTTGAACTCACAGAGATTCTACTGCCTCTGTCTCCCAATTGCTGGGATTAAAGGCGTGCGTCACTACTGCCCAGCAATCCATGAGATTTTTAGAAACTGGAGTAGATATAGAAAAGCCTGCTCTCCTCCAGGAATGTCGCACTGTGATTGCCCTCTATTTTCCAGACCAATCTTACCTTTTTGCCCTTTTCCCTAGTTAGCTCATAGTATGTGACCCTTCCCTTCCTCTCTCCTGTCTCACTCGGTCTACCCAAATACCCTCTCATGGACCTCTCATTAATACAATATTCCATATTCTGGCTGCCCATTTGTTCTTGCTGCCCTCCTGATGGAAGCTTCTTCATTGTGCACATGAAGAAGGCATCTGTTAAGTAGGGAAAAAAATCTTAAAACTATTGCCCTGAATGAGTGAATCATAAGTGCGAACGCCATGGGTCTCTCATCTCACTGAACGAGAAGTATCCATGATGTGAGCTTTGAGTGACAGAAATTCATATCTGTGCTAAAGTTGTACAAAGTGCCTGCCATTGGAGCTGGGCTGGGGTACAAGTGTCTCAGTGGTTTTCGAATGGCCGGGCGTCTGAATCACCACTGCCATTTCCCACTCTGAACTAAGCCTTGCCTGCTTTATCCAGGAAGGGTCAATCTAGTTGGAACTATTCAACCATCAGCATGTTAGTAAGTAAAAATTGTTTTAACTTATGGCCTTTTTGTTTTGTTTTTGAGATAGGATCAAAATATACAGCCCAAACACGCCCCACAACTCAAGACCTCTTTAAAAGCATTTTTAAAGATGTCTCACATTTTATAAGAGTTAGGTTTAGAAGTGGCTCTACAGTGTGTACTGCTCTTTCAAAGGAGTTCCAGGTTGAGACACACTGTCACTGTGTAGTCCAGCCTGGCCTGGAATTCCTAGAGATCTGCCTGCTTCTGCCTCCTGGGTGCGGAATAAAGGTGTGCACCACCACACCGGGCCTTGACAAAGGGTTTTGATGACTTCATAAAATCATACAAATAAGCCACTAAGAACAGTGCCTGGAAGACCAGAGCCTCGCAGTTATGCTCATCGTTACTGTAGCTATTTTTATTATAGTTAGAAAACAGTTCTTAAATTAGAAGTTCTTTTGAACGTAATTTTGTGAGTCTGGTTTCTAGATTTTGTGACAGCCATGGCTAGGTCTGTTAGAAGAGTCTAGGAATTCCAGCAGTTGGGAGGTGGAGGCAGGGAGGTCAGGACTTGGGGATCACCACTGAGGTACAGTTCATTGGAGATCCTGTCTCAGAAAAAACAGGAGGAAAAAAGGACCAAGGAAGCAGCCATACCCGGTGGCACAGGCTTATGACATAGTCACTTGGGAGCCAAAGCAGGAGGATTAAAAGTTCAAAGCTTGCCTGGACTCGGACTGCAGGGCAAGTTCAAAGCTAGTCTGAATGAGTCAGATTCCCAAAGCAAAAGGTTACATAATGATTAATAATATAAATAAAGCAGATGAGCTGTAGCTCATTTCCCTAGTGTGTATGAGGTGTCCTAGGTTCAACCTACAATATGGAAAGGGAAAACCTAGGAAGAGTTGCTTTTAAAATGTATTTTTTCCCATTTCCTGTATCTTAGATTACACATTCTGAAGGTAGAGTAAGGCTCAGAGAAGAAACCAGCATTGAGTTCAGGTCATTCTGTGGAACATGAGGGACACCAAGTACTTTAGCCACTGTGTGGTGGTTTATTTTTACCCTAAATCCATGACAAACCTTAGGTAAATGTTGGCCCTCACAGTCCCGTCCTCCCCTGTTTGTTATGGACACTCGGGCATATTGTACTTTTAAACAGGAGGGTTATCCCAGGACCACCCGTTAGAATCAGTGCTCTGCAGGTAGAACATTAATCCCAGCACTCAGAGGCAGGCAGATGTCCGTGAGCTCGAGGCCAGCCTGGTCTACAGAGCAAGTGCCAGGATAGGCTCCAAAGCCACAGAGAAACCCTGTCTAGAAAAACCAACCCCCCCCCACCCTCAAAAAAGGAAGAAGAAGAAAACCCCAGTGTATTACAGCTCTGGTGCAGCCTCGGCCTCCCCCCTTCACCCAGGTCTGAACACTGAATCTGAACACATCAAGTCCCTCCAAGATGACATTTTGCTCTGTCTAATCTCTTTTTCCTTTGGCAAATGTCACTGTCCTTTCTGCTTCCCTACCTAGACTCCCGGGGGGGGGGGTGCAATCTTCTCTCCCTCCCCGCCGCGTGCTCATTGTTAGAGATGATGAACTTGCTCATGCATTCAGGAAGGATTTTTTTTTGTCCCCTCAGGGCCGTCCAATAACTCCTGTGTATACCGTGGCACCAAATGTTCAGAGAATTCCCACCGCCGGCATCTATGGGGCCAGCTACGTCCCCTTCGCGGCTCCGGCCACTGCCACGATCGCCACACTACAGAAGAACGCTGCGGCCGCCGTGTACGGGGGCTACGCCGGCTACATACCTCAGGCCTTCCCCGCTGCTCTCCAGGTGCCCATCCACGATGTCTACCAGACTTACTGAGACCAGGGACCAGAGCCAAGGCAAGCCACCAAACACCGCTGAAGGAACACTTTGTTATTTATGAAGAAAGAACGTGTCGGATTAGCACACGTGCAAAACCTGCAAGTGAAGAATGTTAGCGAATATCACACTGAAATATTTTATAACCATGAAGTTTTCACTCTTTTTTTTTAAAGACTTTTCAACTTAGCAGGCCCGCGTTCATACATTTCTAAGAGACTTGCAACGCCTCACGCCTTAATACCATCTTTTAAAATTTGTACGCTCTACTGCATTTGTACAGAGGTTTGGTTTTGTTTTTTAAGGATATATTTTCAGTATGAAGGTTATTTTCTTAACTTCTGCACTCCAGAGATTTCTATTTTGTAGAACCTTTCGAAATATATCAGCTATATATTAAATATATACATATATTTTAAAAAAGCACATCCAAGCATCTAGGGAACTATTTTTAAGCTATATTCAATATTTAAAGATACAAACTGTAGTGCTTTGAAATGCTACATAAAACCTTATTTTTTAAAGGTGATGCTGGAAAGTGCAATTTCAAAATGAGTAGAAATTTCTGCTGTATTTCCCTGGCATTAAGGGTTGAGGGTATTGCCATGATCATGGTTTCTGGTTTGGGGTTTTTGTTTTGTTTTAGTAACAATCTCATCTCCCCCAGAGTCCCAACACTGGAAAACTCTCACCTGCCCTGATTACCTTGGGCTCACTCTGTGTCTTTGTTAACTATCCCACCCCTGCACCCCTTCCCCACCCCCTGCCTCCAGTGCACCTTTTATTCTGAGAGGACAACTGGTGCCTTTTGTACTTCTTCCTGGGGTTTTGTTGGGCTCTTTTTTTTTTTTTTAAGTTTGTTTGGAGGTGTTACCCTCTTCTATGTGTCTTCAGTAGCAGAGTACATGTATGGACAAGATTTTACCATGTTCTCGTAAGACACCTTTGCATAGCTATTTAATTGTTCATTATGAGACTTTAACTTTCTAATGCTTTGGTTTTTGAAGTCTGAGTTTTTAGAGACCAAGAATGTATATGATTATAGACAAGGCCTTCAGGATTGGCTAACAGGAAGTTCAGCTTCTAGCTGCCTTCTTGTAGAGTGTCTGCCTTCGTCAGGGCTGTTGGAAGCATTGTTTGTCAACAAGGCTCCCCTAGGTTGCCCTGTGTCTGGCAGATCAACGTGGGGCATATGGATTCAGGAGGCGAGTGAGCTGTAGGAGTTACAGGAGAGCTCGTGAGTCACTTCTGACGCTTGCTTGTAGTCTTCTGCGTTGCCCAAGCCCATGGTGTGTAGTGCAAAGCAAAACGCAGCCATTTTATTTCAACATTATTAAAGTGTTTGTTATCTTGTTTTGTTTTTAGGAATTAAACACACAGATGCAGTGTTCTGTGCCTGTTTAAACGCTTCTCTTCGGCAGAGTGAATGTAAAATACAGTAAAATGCTAATATCGTCATCTGTTGAATGAATTACATCAACTCTCTTTTTAAAAGGCTCGGTCAAGGACGTGGGGTGTGCGATTAGGTGCACAATAAGATACACAGTTGAATTTTATGTCATAACAAAATCCATCAAATCTTTCTTCCCACCAGAGTTTGCTAATGGGCTTAACTCTTATTTGTGGATTAGTTCTAGGATCGTGCCCATAGCCAATGCTCTTAGATAGATAGTTGTTTAATTTTTTTTCTCTTCTTTTAAATTAAGAGATTCCCAAATATCTTTCCCCCCCTTCTTTTGATGAGATGGATTTTTATATAAGGAGTATTTATTAAACTATTCTACAAATGGTTGAATGCCTGCTGAGGCCTTTTACCTCTCCTCTCCATCCTGGTTGAATGGCATAAAGTAGCTGTGCAATGCTCTAAGGGTTCACCCAGGAAGTTGCACGCACACCAATATGTTGGGATGAGTGACTCTGTAAAAGGCACCTCCTACCGGGTCCTCCTCCCTTGACTTGTGGGAAAGAAGTGCCCAGGACGGTCACAGAGGTCCTCCGATGGAACATTGGCCCTGTGTTCTTACTGTATTTTACAAGTGTCGAGAAAACATTTGAAAAAAAACCCAAAAACTAATAATAATAATAATAAAAGGAAAAAATGCACTATTTTAGTGTGGCAACTGCCCTAACAACAAGCCTTGGTGGCATCCAGGTAAGCCTCAGTGACCCTGCTGTCTGTGGTCCCCATTGTCCCACAACCATTTCATGTACACTACTGAGGTGAGTTTATAACTTGAAATGTGAACTTTTTTTTTAGGATTAAGAACAAACTAATATAAATGTTTTTAAATGTTTTAAAGTTTTAGACATGCTACTAGTTTAGTTTTTAGCTTGGTATTTGAAAAGCTTTTTAGATCTCGCTGCATTTCCAGAATACATTCTTAGGATGTATGTGGTAAATAAAGCTTTCTTTAAAGCAGTTTCCAGACTTTCTTTTCCTTTAAAAGAAATGGACAAATTCAGTATTTTCAGCTGGGGAGATTCACAACTGCCTATCACTGCAGCTCCAGGGAATAAAACACTGGTCTTGAACTCAGAAATCTGCCTGCCTCTGCCTTCCTAGTGCTGGGATTAAAGGTGTGTGCTGCCACTACCTGGCTAGTTATTTATTTTTATTGTATGTGCATTGGTACTTTGTCTGCATGTATGTCTGTGTAAGGGTGTTGGATCCTGGAGTTACAGACAGTTGTGAGCTGCCATGTGGGTGCTGGGAACTGAACCCAGGTCCTCTGGAAGAGCAGTCAGTGCTCTTCGCTTCTAAGCCATCTCTCCAGCCCCCTTGTTTTGTTTTTGAGGTCAGGTCTGGTTGTGTGCAGCCAAGGCCAGTCTCAAATTCTTCGAATTCCTCCAATCTTAGTTTCTCAATTGTCGGGCCACCATGCCAAGTTTTAATTTTTACCTTCGTAATTTGACCTAGGGTCATGACCTCCCACGGCCCCTTTCCTGGATTCCCAGCTTCCTCAATGATATATAAAAGCCTTTCGGGGGTAGAAGAGGGTTGGCTACTTCTCAAGAAAACAGACCCTTAGGCAATGGGGAATTCTTTTCTTGTCTTGATTTGGTGTGTGTGTGTGTGTGTGTGTGTGTGTGTGTGTGTGTGTGTGTGTGTGTGTGTTCATTCAAAGCCTACCACATGTATGCCCACAGAAGCCAGAAGAAGGCATCTTATCCCCTGGAGCTGGAGTGATGGCAGTTGTGAGCCTCTCAATGTGGGTGCTGGGAACTGAACTCTGAAAATGAAGCCCTCACTCTTATCTCTCAAGTCATCTCTTAGCCCCATTGCTATTAAAAAAAAATTGGCTTGTTTTAACCAAAGCTGGCTTGAACCCCAGATACTGTGCCTTCTGCTTCCTTGGGACTGAGATTAACATCACACTTGGTTTAGCGGTGTTTTTAAAGACAAGACCTACTGTCCTCGTTCAAGGAGAAAGGTGCTCATACCCTCAGAGTCACGCTCAGGTTCCTAGTGACCTGCCAGGGACAGGCATTCAGACCCATGATGGCAGCACTGTGCCTCTCCTAGCTGTGACAGACAGACTTGGCTACGGCAGCTTCAGCCTTACTCCATTACACTGTGAAGCTGCCCTTCCGAGGGACAGAACACAGACCGCGGGCCACATCTGGTGAGGGTATGATTATGAACCCCAGACTCCAGCTTCCAATGTCTTTGGTTGACCAAAAGATAAACACTGAGCTGGGTGCGACAGACGGTGACCAGCTGAGGTCACAGAGCTTTGCTAGTGAGCAGCCTAGACTCCATTCCAGGCCCAGGTTTTACTGACAGCACTCGGGAAACGAGTCCAGGGAGTCTATAGGGAAAAGGAAACCTTGTCTGTTTTGCCCTGCACTGTGTTTCCATGTACAGCTTGGTGAGTGGGGCAGAAGGGTGGGATGTTTGGAACTTCCTGTTGTCCATGGAAGAAGAGCATAAGGCAGGCTAGTAAAGATTCAAGGACTTCTAGACACAAGCTATTCCACAGATTACGACAGAGATGCACCACAGTATCACAGGGAATCAGCTACACTCCCCCGTGCTTACCTGGTTGTCTGATACTAATAATCAAACCCAGGGCCATGCATACACTAAGCACACATTGTAACTCTTTAAGCCAGTCTTCGACTATGTCGTGATTGGTGGTTGTTCTGGTTGGGCACTTGGGGGTTAAAGACATTGTTTTTTAAGACATAGTCTCAAGAGGTAGACCAAGTTGACCTGCATAAACCTAGGCTGCCCTCAGACTTGTCCTCCTGCCTCAGCCTCCTGTGCTCTGGGATCGCAGCTGAGGACCACCAGGTGATCCTTCTGGGCTGGAGAGATGGTTCAGCATTAGGAGCTTTTCCTGCTCTTCCAGAGGACCTGAGTTCAATTCCCAGCACCCATGTTTGGTGGTTCACAAACACCTGTAACTCCAGTTCTCAGGATTCTGTATTCTCTTCTGGCCTCTAAGGGCACTTATACACAGGTGACATACATTCACACAGATGCAAACTTTTTTAAAAAAACAGAGAGCCAGAGTGATAGTTCAATGGTAGGAACATAAATAAATCCTTTAAAAAAAAGAATAATGTTTTCAGGACACCCAATTTTTCTATCAAAATTATTTTTATTTTATTTAATTTTGGGGGTGGTGGTGGTTTGAGACAGGGTTTCTCTGTGTAGCCCTGGATTTCCTGGAACTCACTCTGTAGTCCAGGCTGGCCTCAAACTCCTTCTACCACCTAGTGCTGGTGCTGGGATTAAAGTGTGCACCACTACCATCTGCCTTAACTTTATCTTTTTTTTCCGTGATGGTGACATTTTGGCACGGCTGATCGAAGAAATGACATCTTAATTTTTTTTATTTTCTATGTATGGTATTTTGCCTGCATGTATGTCTGTGCACCACTCTCATGCCGGGTACCTATGAGGTACAGAAGAGGATGTCAAATCCCTCAGAAATCAAGTTACGGGCAGTGTGAGCTGCCATGTGGTTGCTGGGAATTGAACCCAGGACTTCTGGAAGAGCAGCCAGTGCTCTAAACTGCTGAGCCACCTCTATAGCCTGGAGTGATATTTTTAAAAAGATTTACTTTTATTATATGTGTATAAGTGTTTGTATTCATATCTGCACACCACGTGCTTGCCTGATGCTGGAGGAGACCAAAAGAGGGCTTTTTTTTTCTTTTCGGTTTTTCGAGACAGGGTTCTCTGTGGCTTTGGAGGCTGTCCTAAAACTCGCTCTTGTAAACCAGGCTGGTCTTGAACTCACAGCGATTCGCCTGCCTCTGCCTCCCAAGTGCTGAGATTAAAGGCATGCACCACCACCACCCAGCTTGTCACCACCTTTTTTAAAAAGACATATCTTCAGCTTTTTCAAGAATCACCAAATAAGAGGACACGAACGTACGCCCCATGTCCTACTCTTTGATATAGGTCCCATTTCTAAGCCCCAAAGCCAAAGGGAAGTTTGTGTTTTATAAGGAAAAAGACTCCCAATATCTACAGACTGCTTTCCTTCGATTCCAAGGTCTAAAGCAGTGGTTCTCAACCTGTGAGTCAAGACCCCTGCAGCAACCCTCTATCTCCAAATATATTTAAGTAGCCAAGTTACAGTTATGAAGTAGCAATGAAAATCATTTTATGGTTGGGGTCACCACAACATGAGGGACCGTATTTAAGGGTTGCAACATTAGGAAGGTTGGGAGCAAGGCATCACACTACGTAGGGTCCTTTCTCTGCCCTCCCTTGCCAAGTGCCCAGGGCTGCTCCGTTTTCCAAGTCCTGGTGCTACTAAGCACAGAAAACAATTACTCAGACACTTCCCTCTACAAGCATGCTGAGTGTCCCTCAGAACAGCTTGAGTTTCTAATCAGAACGCCTCGGGAACTCCCAGTGTTGCTTCTTACCAGTCACATGACTTTGAAGGAAAAAAAGTCATGTGATCTTAGAAGGTTACCTGACTTCATAAGGTTATAATGAGTTCACGAATCTTAAAAGCCCGATAAGTTGTAGGCATATTTTCATATGACTATTTTCATCCTTGACCCCATCTACCCCCGCTTCATACACACCCCCCACCCCCAGCACTGGGCCTTGAACCTAGGGCCTCACGCACTAAGCAAGTGCTCAGCCACTGGACTAAACAGCCCCAGATCTTACCATGTTCTAAGAAGACAGTCTCTAGTTTGCACAGGCTGGCCTTGAACTTGCTCAGTAGTCCAGACAGGTCTTGGATTCTCAGTTCCCCTGCCAAAGCCTTCCCAGTAGCTAGGGTTACAGACTCCCTTACACGTCTGAGCCCTAAAACACATTCCTCTGTTAGCAACACTAAGCATTTCCATTTGAAGCTTAAGTGGTGTGTTTGTTGCCTCCTTCAGAGCTTCAGGGTTGTGGCCCCTGAGGAGGGAGAACAGGAGTGAGGCCCACCCTCTTCCCTAACGAGGAGGAAGCTGTCAACCTGGCAGCTGTTGCAAGGAGGCTGGGGTCCAATAATAATGTGGGAAGAACGCTGACATTCCTTCTGTTCGGGATTTTGTTGTTGTTTTAAAGACCGGTGGCCCTTGGGCCAGGTATGGTGGCTTTGTAATCCTAGCACTCAGGAGGACAAGGCAGAAGGATGGCTAAGAGTCTAAGGTCAGAGAGCAGTGAGCTCAGGGTCAACCTGGAGTATAGTGAGACCCTGACTCTGTGCACCCCCTGCCTCCCCAAACAGGAAGTGTCCACATCGGTCAACAGGCAGGTGTGATTTTTAGCTGCTTCCCGCTTGACTCTTTCAGGCCCCCGGTGAACATCAGTCAACCCTGACCTTTTCAAGCACAGCCAAGGTTCTGGGAATCCTCTTCCTGGTCCAGACCTTAGCCTCTAGGATCTTCCATCCTCTCCAATCTGGTCCATAGCAGCTGCTTGCACCCAGCAGGGCATCCCCACCCCAGCCATGGGACAGGAATGCAGGCCTCTGCAGAGGCGGTGAAGGCCTTCATCGACTCTGCCCTCAACATGGCTGAAGGAAGGAGAGTCCCGAGAAGAATCTTGAGGCACACGGGCTTCCCCAGTAGGACTGTTCCGTGACTTCTCCGAGACACACTTACGCACATATTTGAAAGCAGGACTACATTCTGTATTTGCAAGAAATACGACCTTTCCAAGCTAATTTTCAGCCACCCTTATTTCTTGACTTGCCCTATTTTGTTTGTCAGAAAAGCTCTATTACTGATTAACCAACCATGAGGTTTAAATAGGCCTTAGTCATTCTGAGGCAGGAAGGACGTGTCTCTGGAGCCTAATTGTTCCTGAAAGGACTGTACTAGAGGTGCAGGGGTCAAGACATGTTGAGCTCTGGGATTACGATAACACAAGGTCATGCCAGTTTGGTTTGGCTGGATTTTTCCTCTCCTTTCTGGGACTTTGATTCCAAACTCTGGTGGCACCAGGGGACAAAG